ATCCAGCTAGTCTGGCCCCAGTTCAAGCCATCACTGGAGCTGTTCTGAAGCTGTCCTGAGCTCCATTACTCTTTAAGGACCTTGGTACCAGCCTGTATGGGCCCCACTTGATAGAAGAGAAGGCAGGAAGCAAAGAGCCCCCTGGGTTGCTGGGGGAAGCTGGTGGAGCTGGGCTGTTTACAGCATTGCCCTTTGCTCAGGCCACTGTCTAGTTTAGCACCTAGACTCCAGAAGCTTCTGTGTGGTGTGGTTGGTGTTGCTGCACAGCTGACAGCTGAGCCAAAGCTTACCAGAGTAGGAATGCAGGTCTGCAGCTCAGGCACCAGGCTACCTCCAAGGCTTGCTTCATCCCTTTCACCTCAAGACTGTGCCGCAGTCTGGCTGGGCACAATTCAGGAGCCACTTGTCAAAAGAAACTTTTATTTTTAGAACTACAAATGCCAAACAAAACAGCTCCTCAGGAAAAAACCCTCAGAGCCCAACTGCCACCACCGGCTTCCCACAAGCCTCTCGCCCTGCCCTGAATTTTAAGATTCCTCTTTTGTTTTGCTTCACTTTTGTTTTAAGTTGCCTGTCCCTGGAGATGAGTGAGACAGAAGAAAAACCACTCACATCTGAGGAAAAACTATTTCCGTCTGAGGAACAGATAGGGAGAAAGGTTATAATGATTTTTTGTTGTTCCATTTTTATTTCATTCTATCTCGGTTTTGTTTGGTGTTATCTTGTTGGGTTGTATTATAGTAGAAATATGGGATCAGAAATTAGTAAAAAACAAACCGAAAGAGTGTTAAGTAAATTGTTAGAGGAAGGAGGCATCCCAGTAAAATCAAGAGCAATCAGGGCATACGTTGATACAATACAAAAATGTAGCCCATGGCTTTTTAAGGAGGAGTTGTTAAATATATCACAATGGAACCATCATGGTGAAGATTTAAAAAGAATAGAAAAGAAAAGCCCAGGGACTCTGCCAGTTGGCACATTGCTATTGTGGACTTTCATATCTTGTTTGCTTAGTCCAAAGCCTTCAGTTCAGACAATGGTAGAGGAAGGAGAAAACATGTTGACTCAAGTAAAAGAGAAGGTCTCTCGAGCTAGTCAGACAGAGGAAAAGATTCAAGTAAAAGAGAAGGTTTCTCGGACTAGTCAGACAGAGGAAAAGATTCAAGTAAAAGAGAAGGTTTCTCGAACTAGTCAGACAGAGGAAGGAAGTTTAGAGCAGAAAAAGCCATCAGGGGGAAAGTTACAAAAGGAGACTGCTAATAACACCTTTCTATCACTAGAGGATGTAAGGGTCCAACCAACAGCGCCACCTCTAGAGGAGACTGCTACTAACACCTTTCTATCACCAGAGGATGTAAATGTCCAACTAACAAGGCCACCTCCATATGCTGGGAGGCCCCCAACCCCCTCAGTTGATAGTTGGGATCCTGAGACAGGATCTCAAGTATTAACATGCCCTGTATTTGAGGTAGGAGGGCAGGGCGAGAGGCTTGTGGGAAGCCGGTGGTGGCAGTTGGGCTCTGAGGGTTTTTTTCCTGAGGAGCTGTTTTGTTTGGCATTTGTAGTTCTAAAAATAAAAGTTTCTTTTGACAAGTGGCTCCTGAATTGTGCCCAGCCAGACTGTGGCAAGACTGGCTCTCAAGAGTGTCAATTCTGGGGGAAAAATGGACACAGGGCTAGAGCTTAGTGACTAGTACCAGTATCACTGGCCTGAAACACTTCTTAGAATTGGAGAGGCAGGAACCAGTTTGGAGGAAAAAGAAAAAAAGGGACATCTTCTCCTTGTAGAAACATATGTACCTACTCCACCAGCTTTTATGAGGCCCTGGAATGTTATTTGTTGGTGACCACCCAGCCATCCCACCGACAAATGGAACACTCTGAGGAAGATGTGTCTGACCTCCTAATGTGAAACATACAGAAGATGAGCTAAGAGGTGAGGTCCATTTCTGCACATTTATCTCTGGTTATTAGATACTTTTAGAGTAAACATCTGTTTGTCCACTTCAGTTCTCATATTGCAGGCCCCATTCAAGGGCTGTTTTGACCTTATCTCTGATTCAATGGGAACAAACCTTAAATTAGTGCCAAAAGGGGGACCTAGAATGGGAAGTTAGAGGGAACTTTGGTCATCTCAACAAAAAAGGGGGCCTGGGATCCTCAGCCAACTAGTCTTAAAGTGAAAAACTGAAGAAAATGGAGGGTAAGAAAGTCTGAAGGCATCTTGTGAAGGCTGGGGATGTATCTCAGTGGTAGAACACCTGCCTGGCATACAAAAGGCCCTGGGTTTGGTCTCCAAAACTGCAAAAACAAAACAACAACAACAACAAAAACAAGTATCTTGTAGTGCCTGATCCAAAAGGACTCTTTCATTATAAGGTTTATCCTGGGGCAGTGCCACATCTTGACATCAAATCAAAGCATACAGTTTGATCATGCTTCCAAAGTTCCAGGAATATGGGCTGGACTACATTATTTGATTTCTCCTTTGGTTTTCAACTTTGATAGTTGTTTTGTAGGAGGAATATCTGTCTTTATTGCAGGACTTTCCATGTCACCTCATAGTATATTCTCAGGACATGTACATATTGTCCTAAGGGACAATAGGCCAGTTAATTGTACAAGAGGAAAACTTTGTTTTCTTAGGTTTCTAAATCTACATGACATGAATACAATAATTGGTGAAAACTGTCCTTTGTTCCTATTTCTTTCTCTAATCCACATCTCCAATTTTCCTGCTAGATATTTTTTACCTGAACATATCATAGCAAATTGAAACTCACCATGTGATCTCATAGCCTGTTCCAGTGGTGACATTCTGTGAGTCCTTATACTAATCATCTTCCCTTGACACATTCTTCCTGCTTCTATTGTGGCCCTATAACTCCTCAGGTTGCACAGGCTCAAAATGTCATAGCTCTGAGCTCTGCTTTACTCATTGCCCCAAAGTTCAGGTCTTGAAACCTTAATCCCCAAAGCAATGGTATTAAGAAGTGAGGCCTTTAAAAGGTGATTTGATCATGATAGCATTGACCTTATGGATGGATTAATGCTGTTATCAAGGGAGTGAACTAGTGACAAAAGGGGGAATTCTGCATGTTTTCTATTTTTTCTCTTGCGCTAGCTTGCTTTTCCATCATGTTATGACACAGCCCAAAAGCCTCTGCCAGATATTGGCCATGCTCTTGGATTCCAAGCCTTCGGAGCTGTGAAAATGATTTTATTTTCCCTATAATATAAATATTCTATTATATCAGCAGAAAACTAAGACACTTACTCTTCTTCCTATTCTTCTTCTCTCTCACAACTGCTCCAATTCCTGGTTCCAGTGACTTACCTAGGCATCTCCATTTCTAATGGCTTTTATACTCATCCTTTGTGTCTTTAAAACTCAGCTACCTTGATCCTGTTCATTCTGCTTTCATAATGCTACTTTTATCCTACCCCTCCGTGCCGTTTCTGACACATATTACTGGAGTGAGGTGCTCACAGTTGGGTTCATCTTTTTACTTGGACCAGATATAGTGGAAGCTGGTCATGAGCACCTCATGTGAAGGACAGCAGTCAGAGAGCTGGGCAACAGGTGCTGGGTGATTGTATAATCATTTTGAAGTTAGTATGTTCCCCTCATTTCAGTTCCAGATATAGATATCATCTCATGAGCCAAGGGGACCTTAAAATTAAGGCATGACTTAAAATTAAGCCATGACTCCAGGCCTCCTTTCAGTTTGAAGACTTGTTAGATTCTTGCTGCTCCCAGCTCATCAGGAAAATGTGCAAAAATGATCTGGAACCACTCATTTGTTGTACTGGGATGTGGACCTAATTTTCCCCGTCTCTCATCCTGAAATGACCCCTCATTTACCAACTCATTTTTTTCTTCCATCCATCCATCCATCCATCCACCCATCCATCTAACACTTTCCTTGAGTACCAGATCCATAGACCTCCATATGTCCATCCTCTGTGGATTTTTTTTTTTCTGGCTCTTCAGTTCCAGATAGAAGAATTCTCCAAAGGCACCAATAGGCTATGTCTCCTTTTCCAGATAATGCTTGTGAATTTTAACAGTGGGCTTCATTAAGACAACACAAAGACTTTATGGAAAACTCAGAGTGGTTGAGATATTTTTGGATAAAAATGGGTCATTTCCAAAGAGACATTATGTAGAACTTGGGCGTCAGTAATCTCTAATTTTATTCCCTGAATGATATACTCTAATTTGTTTTTCAATGCCATAGAAAGGAATGTGCCATTTGATAGCTACTATGCCAAAAATATTAGTGAAAGTTGGTTGCACCGAATCTTTGCAGCTTTCCCTTATGAGATCTCAAGCTGGGAGCTCTGACTGAACATTGCCAATACTTAAAATTGGAGCTTGGAGTGCATGTGTTAGGAGAAACCCTTGGGTTTTGATTACGCTTTGATTACTATTAGATACTGAATTTGAAAAAAATAATAAAGTTCAAGAACATAAGTGCATGCTTGGTTGCAGAGTTGTTAGGAATCCAAGTACCAATACCTTCTCTAAGCCAATACTTCCTTTGCTTTGAATGGATCCTGGAAGAAGTACAAGGGGAATTCTGGGGTCCCTATTGCCATAAAACCCTTGGGACTGGGACTCTCTCATTATCCCTTTCAGGCTGAGTGAAATAATGGACCTTTTGGTGTATCTCAAAGCCTAACAGCCTTGCTTGGCAAAGGCAGATGGGTTGGTAAGAAAGATTGTGTGGTACATGAACACAAATAATATGCTCTTCATGATCAAATTATGTAAAAATATCTGTGAATACTTTTTACTTTTCACTTGGCAAATAAATTTTCTGAGATCAACTTCTTTTTGTTAGGTGACAAAATATTTCCCTCCATTGCTTCTCCCTTTCCCTTTCCTTTTATTCTATTACTTAAATCACAGAACATATTCTTCTAGAGGTTTTGAAATGCCAGAACATTTGAATTGATACATTCATTTCACTATCTTTCAATACAAGTGAGTCATATTGATATACAATAAAGAATTCATTTATTCGTTTTTCTCTTCCCCCCAAGTTTAGTAAAATAACTCAGATCCGGATTTTCTTTAACTTGCTAAAAATGTCATTCCCTAGAGATCAGAGACCTCCAGAGTTCTTACACCAGTGTCAGTGCAGGTCCAGTTCTTACGTAGTTCTGCTTGTAGTCAGCTGCCTGCTGCAGGGTTGGCTCAATGTGTGGTTTTATCAGTGGCTTGGATTTCCCCCTACTATATGAAAGTTTATTGGAACAAATAAAAAAAAATGAATGCTTTGAAAAATTAAAAGATGATAGTCAGTTCTCCTGGAGCAAACTTCATGTGGGGGCTTACATCATTGACTGTGGTTGATTGCAGCTCTGTCAGAAACTTGGTGATATATCTTAGAAATATGTGGTAGCTTTGAATGGACAGGTCAATCAATCTTGTAGCCTCAGCAATGAATTTTTCATAGTAATCAGAAAGTTGGTCTGAAAAATCCTGTAGTTTAGATCTGAACTGGTGCTGGTAATCAGAAATGATTTTCTTCATTGCAGTGGCCCAACTTTTAATTATTTCCTGAGCAGTGGTAGAAAGCTCTTCAATCTTTTCTTTCCCTTTTCCATCTGCATCAGTAAGGATGCTAACATATTCTTGGAAAGCTCTGTCCACAAACTGCTTAACTTGATTTGAGAGTTGAGAAGTAAATCCAGTTGCACTGGACGTATATTTGGAATGGAAGTCCTTAAGGGCAATTAAAAAGTTCCTGATCAAATCCATTACTTTTTCTTCAAGTTTATAATATTTCACCATCCAGCCAACTGTACTTGGATCAAAATATTCTTCACGAAGAGCCTTTATGTACTGATGAACCTGTTGTAAGTTTTGAGAGCTGTCCTGAAGTTGGTCTTGAATAAATTCATTGAAACTACTGAGGATAAAGTCTAGACTTTCTTTCAGATTTTGAAAAACATACAGAACATAATCTTTGAAATTGTCTTTCTCTTGTAGGATCTCATTAACAAGATCAGTAAAATTTAACTCTTTTAAGATTTCAATGTCTTTTTCTATCTCATTAAAAACAAATGATTGTAAAACGATGCCAAGGACACTTAGTGTCTCTGTAGTATTGACAGATAAGTAGTCAATTAATGTTTCTTGAATTTCTCCTGATAAAGATTTCAACTGTTCCCTCAAGTCCGGAATTGCATCTTTTAGTTTAGAGCTTGTTGAATGAAAAGGAAGTTTAATCTGTAGGTCTTTGATTAATTCAGTTCTCCCCACTAGGTCTTGGACATACGAAAGCAGTTTATCTAACCCATTTTGGATATTTGAACATACTTGGGATAGCATCTTCCCTACCTCCTTCATGACCATACTGTTGAGTTCATCAATAGTGGACATCTCAGCTTTCCCTGGGAGATGGAATCTGGAGAACTTCAGGATATCAATGAATGAGTCAATCAGATGCTTAATTGCCCTATGGTACCCCTTGATGATTTGTATTAAGCTGTCAAATGCCTTCTCCTTGATTGTCTGGAAACTGGCCTGGCTCTCCTGAGCCAACAGTTCCTGGTACAGATTCTGGGTCTTGTCCTTCCACTCCTGGTAAGTTCTTGTGGTGCTGCTGACTGCTCTCTGGAACCCCATGTCCATCTCATCAATTTGCCTCATGGCCCCTTGATAGGCTTGCTCAGCACTGTTCTGTAGACTTCTCCTAAGCTTTGCAGAAGCATCTGTCAGGCTGAGTCCTGTGTACTCCTGGTGGTACTTGTTGACATAGTCATAAAAGGTCTCTGTGGCCTTGGGCACACTGTCTTTTAGAGAGCTTAGCAATCTGGATGCTACCTCTTCATCCCAATTAAATTTGATCTGAATGTCCCCATCAGGTTTATGCCTCCACTCAGTTATGAGTATGATGAGTTTTTTCTCTGCAGAGGACTAAAACAAGAAAGGGGGGACATGTTTTCAATTACTCTGATTACATAATATATTACACTAAAACTTCATTAGCAGTTAAAAGTAAAGATCAGAGGATCCTTAATTTTCTGAAGGGGATTTATCTTTCACATGTCAGTTTGTATGTTTGTTTTATGGTTAAAAAACCCCCACTGTTAATTTCTCATTATCATATGCCTCAGAAAGGATAAAAACCATGCTTGGCATTTATACAGGAACACTTAACATTAAGGCCTTCCTAGGACTGAAAAATGGGGATAGGAGGGGAAGGATAGGGAAGAAGAATAGGGAGCAAGAGGAGGCAGAGGAAGAAGGGAAGAGGCAGAGACAGGCACATTCAGGGAAAGAAGTAGCAAAAAAGGGAAAATGTCCAGAGCCCAACCATCAGAAAGCCAGAGTCCCCATCTCCGTATTCATGCTCCTAACCTGTGACAAACCTTGGTGATAGAATCAGGTTAGGTCTCCCCCTCTGGTAATGACATATTTGATTTGGCCCTAGTAGAGCTTATAAAAGACTGAGTCCTTGGGTCTCATCAAACTATTCTGTTAAGGGAAAGAATTCTAAGCTTCAAGAAACCTCCCGAAACCATGATTTAGGTGATGAGAGGGCTTTGGCTGTGGCTCAGGGTTAGAGTGCTTGCTTAGAATGTGCAAGGCCTGGGGTTCAATCCCCAGCACTGAAAAAAATATATAAAAATTTAAAAAAAATCCAATGATGAAATATTTGGAAGTAGGGCAAATGGTGGGGTTGGACTGGGAATGTGGCTCAGTGGTGAAGTGCTTGCATAGCATGTTTAAGACCCTGGGTTAGATCCTCAAGACCACCAAAAAAAAAGTGTATTTGGATGATGAGGCATGACCCTTATCTTTCTAGATTTTCCCAGAAGTAGTAAAATAATAATAGTGCTAATATGATGTCATATGCATGACTAATAATTAATTTCAATGAAGGACTCATTTTAAGGCTTTCTGGAGAATAATTTCTTAGTGAGTATCTTTCATCTAATTTGAGAACTCTGAAAGAATTGTCTTAACTTCATTGACAAATTTCTAGAGACACGATCTACCCCAACTGAATCAGGAGGACATGCACAATTTAAACAGATCAATTTCAAGCAATGAAATAGAAGACACCATTAAAAGCGTACCAACCAAGAAAAGCCCAGGACCAGGTGGATTCCCAGCCAAGTTCTATAAGATCTTCAAAGAAGAATTAATACCATACTCCTCAAATTATTTCATGAAATAGAAAAGGAGGGAACACTTCCAAACTCATTCTATGGGGCTAGTATCACCCTGATATCAAAAGCAGACAAAGACATATCAAGGAAAGAAAATTTTAGACCAATATCCCTGATGAACTACATGCAAAAATTGTCAATAAAATTCTGGCAAATTGAAACATACAAAAATATTAAAATGACAGTGTGCCACAATCAAGTGGAGTTCATCCTAGGTTGGTTCAACATATGGAAATCAATGAATGTAATTCATCACATTAAAAGACTTAAATACAAGCATCATATGATCATCTCAATAGATGCAGGAAAAGCATTTGACAAAATACAGCATCTCTTTATGTTCAAAACACTAGAAAAACTAGGGATATTAGAAACATATCTCAATGTTGTAAAAGCTACCTATGCTAAGTCAAAAGCCAACATCATTATAAATGGAGAAAAACTAAAAACACTCCCTGTAAAAACTGGAACAAGACAGGGATGCCCTCTTTCACCACTTCTATTCAACATAGTCCTTGAAACTCTAGCTAGATCAGTCAGACAAAATAAATTAAAAGGATACGATTTGGAAAAGAAGAACTCAAACTATTACTATTTGCTAATGACATGATTCTATATTTAGAAGATCAAAAAAATTTCATCAGAAAACTTTTAGAACTAATAAATGAATTCAGCAAAGTAGCAGGGTATAAAATCAACACTCATAAATCAAATGCATTTCTATACATAAGTGATGAATCCATTGCAAGAGAAATTAGGAAAACTAACCCATTCACACACACACACCAAAAAACCAAAAAACAAAAAACAAAAATCAAAAAACTATCCCCTCAAAAAAATAAAGTACTTGGGAATCAATTTAACAAAACAGGTGAAAGACCTATACAATGAAAACCATAGAACACTAAAGAAAGAGATTGAAGAAGTCCTTAGAAGATGGAAATATCTCTCTCCCATGTTCTTGCATAGGCAGAATTAATATTGTCAAAATGGACATACTACCATAAGTGTTATATATATTTAATGCAATTCCTATTACAATACCAATGACATTCTTCATAGAACTAGAAAAAGCAATCATGAAATTCATTTGGAAAAATAAGAGACCCAGAATAGTCAAAGCAATCCTTAATAAGAAGAGTAAAGCAGGAGGCATCAAAATACCAGACAGTTAACTATATTACAGAGCCACAGTAAAAAAAAAAAAAATGGCATGGTTTTAGAACTAAAGTAGACATGTAGATCAATGGTACTAAATAGAAGATAGAGACAAACCCACATATCATCTCATCTTATATAAAGGAGCCAAAAACATACATTGGAGAAAAGATAGCCTATTCAACAAATGGTCTCAGAAAACTGGAAATTCATACGCAACAAAACGAAGTTAAAAGTTATCTCTCTCCCTGCACAAAACTCAACTCAAAGTGGATCAAAGACTTAGGCACTAGAACAGAGACCCTGAGCCTAATAGAAGAAAAAGTAGGTCCAAATCTTCATTATGTCAGCTTAGGACCTGATTTCCTTAATAAGAAGTAAAATTAAGAATCAATAAATGGGATGGATTCAAACTAAAAAGCTTCTTCTCAGCAAAGGAAACAATAACAGGAAGATAGAGCCTACAGAATGGGAGAAAATATTTACCACATGTACCTCAGATTGAGCATTAATTCCAGGATATATAACCCAAAAAACTTGACACAAGAAAAACAAATAACGTCCTCAATAAATGGGCTAAGGAAATGAACAGACACTTTACAGAAGAAGAAATACAATTGATTAACAAGCATATGAAAAAATGTTCATCATTTCTAGCAATTAGAGAAATGCAAATCAAAGCAAAGATTTCATCCCCAATCATAATGGCAATTATCAAGAATACAAGTCATAATAAGTGTTGATGAGGACGTGGGGGAAAAGGTATACTTATACATTGCTGATGGGACTGCAAATTGATGCAACCACTATGGAAAGCAATTTGGAGATTTCTCAGAAAACCTGGAATGGAACCATCATTTGATCCTGCTATCCCACTCCTAAGTTTGCACCCAAAGGACTTAAAATCAGCATACTACAGTGATACAGCCATATCAGCTGTTTATAGCAGCTCCATTCACAATAGCTAAACTATGAAACCAAACTAGATGCCCTTCAATAGATGAATGGATAAAGAAATTGAGGTACATACATACAATGGAATATTACTCAGTTTTAAATAAGAATGAAATTGTGACATTTGTTGGTAAATGGATGAAACTAGAGAATATAATGCTAAGTGAAATAAGCTAATCCCCCAAAACCAAAGGCCCAGTGTTTTCTCTGATAAGGGGAAGAAGGCTAATCCACAGTGGAGTGGGGGTAGGGAAAATGAAGGAAATTTGGATTACACAGAGGGAATTGAGGAGAGGGGTGGGATGATGGGGATGGGCAGGACAGTAGAATGAGACGGACGTTATTACCTTATGTACATGTATGATTACACTACTGGTGTGACTCAGCACAATGTACATCCAGAAGAATGAAAAGTTATGCCTCATTTGTGTAGAATGTGTCAAAATGCGTTCTACTGACATATATAACTAATTAGAATAAATTTAATAAAAAGAATTGTCTTAAATTATCTGTCCCAATTCTCTCCCTGCTCTTGGGCTTTGGCAACCCATTGGTTGGGACTCACCTGAGGGTAGAAGTAGGGGTTCTTTACTATGCTATGGTTTCCTTTTTCTCCAAGGTTCAGGCCCACAGTGTCTATGGCTGGGTAGGCTGCCCAGAAGGTCTGGATTTTGCTATATGTTTGATAATGCAGCTGGAGGTCACTGAACACCGGACAGGTGATGTCCAGGACAGCCTGCATTTCCAAGTCCCTGAAAGCAGAAATGCAGCTGGGTCACAATATAATGGGCAGAAAGAGGGCACACATCACAATGAGCTTTGAAAAGGAATGAAGTTTCAATAAAAGTTTCATACTGCAGTCCTTTGTATTTGCCCTCTTCTTTATACAGCACACTGAAGTCACGATGTACAAATGTGTTGTTGCTCTTATAGATGAAACTGTAGTCTTCAAATTTATATATGTCCACCGCTGTAGGGGAGAGAGTTTACATTTTGTTGGGCAAATAATTATGGAATACAGAGACATTTTCATTGGGAAACTTGGAGCATTTTATTTTAACCAAACACCTAACTTACATGTTTTTAATATGCAATGTCTAGTTCATAGTGTTTTGAAATATTTTTTTTGTTTGGTGATGGGGATCAAACCCAGGGCATCCATACATGCTAGGTATGTGCTCTATCACTGAACTGTATACTCTGCTCTATAATCTAAGTAAATAGTGAGAAGACAATGTAAGTCCTAAAATCATTATAGAAAAATCTACTTCTTTGAACCTATCCTTTTTGAATGTCAGTTATTTTCTACAGTTTTTTTTTAATGTATGGAGTATATATGTATCTCTTCTTTTAATTTTACTGAGAGTAATTGTAACTCTGGTCATAACTAAATATATAATTACTTACAACTTTCATTAAGAACATAGTATCTAGGAAAGGAGTCAGGTCATTTTCTTACCTTTTAGGTCATATTCCAGGAACTTTAAGGTTGAACTGCATGTGGAATCCAGGAATGTTTCAATATGATCTGCTTTGTTTTTCAAACCAGCACTCCAAGTGGCATTATATGGGGGAGAGGCCACCCGAAACCGTGCAGTCAGTTCTCCAAAAATAGGAATCCAAATTCCAGCAGGTATAGAGAATTTAATGGAAGGAATCTGAATAGTCTGCTCAGGCATGATGATGGTAGGCAATTCAAAGCCTCCAATCTTGTTGGCCACCTCATTTAGGTCCAAGACAGCACTGCCAATGGAAATGCTTTTTGGAAGGGTGAACGGGGTTACAATGAACTGAGCTGCAGGCACAGTTATCTCAAAAAAGGGAAATGAGGAGTTTTCCGATTCAGAATATTTTGTTAAAACATCAACTTCAGGGAATTTTATTTTGGGTAATGTTGGTAGGTTGAGTGCAAATGGTGACATTCTTGACTTTTTATAGATTTTCATTTCACTGAAGTCAACTTTGTAGGATGGAACCTGAAGATCTGTGAATGGGACTCGAAATGTAGGTGTGACAAAAACTGAATTTAGATCATTTAGTTTCAACCCAGGTATAATGAATTTATCAGCCAATTCTTGCACGGGGACAGAGAGAAGATAGCCATTGGGATTTTTGGTGTACACAAGAGCAGTTGAAACATGAAGATACTGCCTCCTGCTGGTGCTGGTGGTTACCTCCAGCTTTAGGAGGTCCCATAAGCTCTTGTCATACACTGGTAGGACGATATGTTCAAGGTTTGACCCTTCTAAGGATCCTGCAATGTCGAGGCGTGCCTCTTCTTGGGTATTAGAAAGCTGTATGTTGTTCTGGAGAGACCCAGAATAAATCTGGATCTCACTTTTCCAGCTGACCTTCTGGTTCTTAGTGTTTGCATTCAGAGTCACTTCCTGGTCAATGTAAGGTATGTCCAGGAGGGAACTGAGCTGACTTGCATGACCCTGAACAAGGGCAGACATTGTCCATGGGGAGAGTTCCAAGGTGGCTTTGCTTGCATGTTCTCCTTGTGTGAAAAAAAGGCCCTGTAGCTGTAAGTAATTTTCTGTATTGTGTTCCCAGATGGCATATATGCGTCGGAGATTGGCTTCTCCAGCAAAATTTTCTTTTACTTCAAGGTTCCAGATATTATCGACCTTGGAAGCCCCTTGTAGCTTCACTGATGACCGAGTGCCCTTGGAATTCAGGTACATACTGGCCTCACTGGCAATAGTTCCCAAATATTCCCGTGAGAGGACTGAACCCTTGACATCTCCTTTAGTAGATGACTCAATGGAAAAGTAGGAGGTGAGGCTTTCTAAGCTGAGCTTGTGGTCAACTGCTCCTTTAGCAGTATAGTACAGCTTCGGAGAATTAAAATCATATTTTAATTCAGTGGATGAAGAGACAGTAGGTTTTGACTTGGTATTTCCATTAAGTTCTTGCTTAAAATTCAATCTCAAAACTGGAACGTGGATTTTGGCAGTTGTTGTCACTGATGCTTCCAAGTTTTTCTCGATTAAGCTAATAGTGCTATCATGACTGCCTTCCACAAATTTGTTGCTGAGAGACAAAGCTGTGGCTAGCTTCAGCCCTCTTTTCCTTGTCAAACTTGAAGTGCCCTCTAATTTGTACTGTAGTGCATCAATGACAAATGAAGAGGAAGAAAGGAAATGAGCCACAATATCTGATTGATTATAAAGTCCAATATTGGTATTCAGCGTGATGGCACTTGATTTAAAGGAAAAATCATAAGTAATATTGCCCAGGGCTGGAATAAAAATATTGTTTATGGTACTCAGTTCCTTGAAATCTGGAAGAGGGACCTTGAGTAGATTCCTAGGGGCACGAAGGACTGGCAACTCAATGGATGGGAGGACAAATGTGTGTGACGGCACATAGAAGCCAGACCCTGGGATGGTGACATTGGGGGTGCTGATCACTTTGGGGATCACATGACTGGAGGCTGACATCTCTACTGTGAATGGAGACACTTCCATGTTGATGACTGGAAGAGTGTATCTGGGAGTTTGAAAGGTCCTGGGGAGCTTGTTGAGAGATCTTTCAACTTCATACTCATCAAACTTACTTTTTGCTTCATTGTAGGATGTAGTGAGAAAATCTAAGGCGTCATCTCTGACTTTCTCAAAATGTCTGTCAAAGGAATTGATATTCTGATTGATAAACTCAAAAAACACACCCAAAGGAATTGCAATGGAATGCCTGTCTTTGTTTTTTTTGTACCGAGCTTTTACACTTAAATCAAATGATTGCTTTGTTGTTTTCAAGAATTCCTTTAAGCCGGTTTCTTCCCATATGGAGAAATCTTTCAGTGAGGGTGTTGTGAGTGTTGTATAAGGTAGATTTATTTCAGGAATTGTCAAAGGAATGTTCAAGAAATCCAGGTTGGCATCTCCATTGATCTGTACATGGGCTTCCATGCTGTGCCCATTGTTCACAGCAGAGAAATTTTGATGGTATTTATACTGATTGAACCTAGCACTTGCTTGCCAACTTGCTTGCTGGGCATGAGGACTCAGGAACATTGCATAGTTGTTGAGAAAGTCTATCTTCCCTACCAATTTTAGTGGAAAACTAACTTTCAGATTTCCTTCATTTTTTGTGGTTGCAGTAATTTCAGATGGCTGTGCTGAAAAGAAAAGGGAATTTTTCAAAGTTCCAATAACTTTTCCATTTAAATGAGCATTGTGGATGCCAGTTATCTCTGTCTTCCCTTCTTTGAGCAGTGCTATGCCATTAGCAGTTAGAATACTGTGGCCCACATGCTGGGATTCAACTTCAGACTTAATTTCAAACCTAGAAGAGTCAAGGAAGCCAGATTCATAAGCGATCTTTTGGTTTACTCTTAGGTGTTTGCTGCTGATGTTATTGGACAATCCAAAGGAAGTGATGGGTCCTTCCACGGTGAAGCTGATCTGTGATTCATGTATTCCCTCATCTGAGAAGTTGAGACAGGCCAGTTTCCATGACCCTATTCCAGAAGAAGTCCAAGTTAAGTGTCCAGCTTCCAGCAGTGTCTTGATATCATTGTTCAGGTCAACCTTACTGGATAAGTCCAGTTTGGGGATGTTCAATTTGTGGAAGTACTTTGTGTGGCTTTCCAGTTTAAGCTGGTTATTTATCTTGACAATCACACCATTATTAAACTCTAGTGTATTTTTTTCTGTGTGTAAACTTGCCATTGTATCTGATTTTCCTTCAATGGCATTTCCAGAAAATAGTATTTCACTTTCATGCTTTGTTCTCATGTACTTGCTGGAAAATATCATAGATTCCTTTAGAACCAGTGGATTAATCTTAGGGTCTGAGAGTTGTGCATTTGCTTGGAAATCGAAATTGAGAACTTCTAATTTGGACTCTCCTTTGGCAGTGATGGAAGCTGCAATCTCTGCTTTGTGCTCTGAACTAGTAACATTCTGGATGTTAGCATTTGCATCTAATGTGAAAAGGGGAGATTGGACTTTCAAAATGCTATTCAACTTGCCAAAAGTAGGTATTCCGATTGTGTGTGAGATGTGGGGAAGCTGGAAGTCTGGTATTTGAAGGTCAGGAACTTGAAAATCTTTCAGGTTGAGATTTGGGATCATGACTTCTGGAATTGTAATTTTTGGCAAATGGAAGTCTGGCAGTGTGAGTAAAGCAAGAGGGATGTCTCCCATCTTCAAATCCCTCAGATACACTTCCGGAAGTGGCCACTGCAGCTCACTGATCAGCATTTGGTCAATGGTTCTGATGATCTTTGCTTTGATTTCTACCAAGTCGATTGTAAAGGAAGGAATGTGGAAGGTGTTGAGGATAGTGAATTCTGGAGTGGAAAACCTGGATGGGATTTTTATATCTTTCAACTCTTTGAAGTTTATCTGAACTGATGGAATCCTCAGATCTGTCAGGGGAACTATGAAGTCAGGAGTCTGGAAGGTAGCTTCCTGGAGAGCATGGAGACTGACCTCAAAGGCAGGCATAGTCCCAAGGATGGTCTGGATTTTAGGAACAGTGAACCCTCGTTCCACCAAGGATTTCACCTTTTCAGCCCAGTCTTGGATAGAGTATTGCTCTGCAAAGTCAGTAAAGTTCTTAGCAGCAAGAATCCACCAGTCAGTAATGTAGGTGACAAGTGTATTATAAACCTGGCCTACTAGAGACAGGTATCGCTCAAGTTCCCGCTGAAGGTCCATTTGATAGATCCGGTCTCGTAGGTCTTCTAGAGTTTCTTGGAATCTGGCTTTCATGTGAACCAAAGATGCAGAATTTAAAGCATCCTGTAACCAATCAATGAATAAAGTTATTTTAGTGTCTTTTAGCTTTTCCCAATAGATAGCGACCATGGCTTTGATGTCCTCTACAAACAGTTTTAGTGCTTCAGCTTTCTGTGGCAGTTCTAGAGCCTGAATTTCACCATTGATCCTCTGAGTCATCTCATGGATTTTGTTATTGGTTTCATTCACAAACTGGTTGTAATTGAACGATTTTAATTTCTTTACCAACATGTCCAGCAATCTGTTTACTTCTTCAATGAATTTTTTAAAAGACAATGCTTTAAGCTGCTTGATTGCATCATCAATAAACCCAACCAATCTCTCATAGTATTCTTTTATCTCAACTTGCTGTAGAACATTGCTTAGTTTTTGAACAGTCTCCTTCAACTTATACTTGTGGGCCAACTGTACTGATTTATCCATTAACACCTGGATTTGTTGGTCTACTTCATATTTCCTAATTAACTCATGGACTATGGCTCTAAAAGCATTGATTTTCTCAGTTACTTCAAATTCTTCAATAAGATTTGTAACAAAGTATTTGACATGTTCAATAATGTCCTTTATTCTTTGAAATGAAATTGTAGTTCTCAATTGATCTAAAAGGACTCTGACATCAATATCCTTAACCCGTTGTTTTAACACTGTGGCAATGTCCTCAATGTCTGTATTCTGAATATGCGTGTTGAGCTGCTGCAGTTTTTCTTGTATCTGAATTCTGACTTGATACTTAGTATCCACATTCTGGATCCAGGAGGCAACACTACTTCCAGTTTTGTCAAAATCAATATTTTCAATAAATTCATACAGATCATTGATTGTCTTTACTAAATGTACACAGATATGATAATGTTCATTAAGAATCTTCCATTTTTCAATGATTTGATCAATAATCTTAGCAATAGCAGTTTTAAAATCATGTAGATCATAATTATCTTTAATATACTGATCAAATTGTATCACATATGTCTGAAGTTGAGAGAGTTTTTCATTAAAGTTGATTTTGGCATTATCCAATGCAATTTGTAGATCATTTTCTGTAATTCTATAATTTTCTGTGAAAGTGTTCAGTTTCTCCTTGGCAATGGAAACTTGTCTCTCCCAATTAAGTGCATTCAGATAGTCATTAACTTGCTGTGGGAGTCTGTTGAGGGCTGCTCTGTATTTCCTCATAAATTGATCAATATTGATGCGTTTCAATTCTTTCTGAATGGTTTGCAGAGCAGTTATAATTACTATTCGATTCCTCTCCAGATATTCTGGCAGAGTTTCAGAGAAGGGGAGGCTGATGGTGTGAACCTCTTGGTTCTTATCGTACTTTACAAAAGCAACAATTGTGAATTCTTGGGGCTTGTCAATAGCATCTTTCATCTCTAAAGCATCAATGACATTGACGGGCTCTCTGAGTAAAAATGGCACTTTAATCGGGGAGTCTAGCACAGTAAGGTCAGCCAGGGCTCGCCCACTAAGCTCCACACCAATTTTGTCTTTAGTGTTGTAAGCTTCAAAGTCCTGGCTGTACTCATTGTTGTTCAATTGGGTCTTGAGTTTCCAGGTGCTTGTCTGCTCGGCTGGAGTGAGCAGGACACTGACTTTGTGATCAAGAGCTGTACTGATGCTTTTGCTGGACATGAGATGACTTGTGGACCCTTTGTAATCATGAGAGAAAGTGAGGGCCAGTGGTTCTGCTTTGAACAGGAATTTGCTATAGAGTTGTCCAGTGTGCTCTCCCCAGAGAGCCAGTTTTCCATTGCCATTTGTATGTGCATCAATGGCTACAGTGAATGGGGCCATTGCAGAACGGAAAACATTGCTGAAATGCAGAGAGTCTGAATTATAGTTTGTACTGATGTCAATGGATGATGCCAGCCCAGCAATGTCAGTGTTGAGCCGATGGCTAAACTCCACACCCTGAACCCTAGCTACAGTGTCTGCTTTATAACTTGCTGATAAGTCAGCATAGGAAATGGTGTAGATATGTTTTATTTCATCATTTTGGTAGGCTCCTTTGAGGTTTCCAGCCATGTTCAGCTTCAGGGGTTCCAGCCGTAATTTCCCATTGCTGGTCAGATCCAGAGCACTGTATCTCAGGTCATTGTTTAAAGTAGTTACAAGAGAAAAGGGCTGTAACTGTAAGTTAAAATTCTGCTTGTAAAACTTGTCAGTGCTATAAACATTGTCAAGTTTGGATGAGAGGTCCAGTGATAAGCCTGCGATATTCAAACTGTTAGAGTGGTCCAGCTTCATTTCAGCATATGAGCCCATCATGTCATTTGAAAGCTTCAGTCCTTCCCGGCTGATTTTGAAGTTGAAAATGTTTTTACTGTCGACACCCAGAATCATGGCCTGATAAGTACTTCCCAGTGATACCTCTGTGAGGGCAGCTTTTCCATCCAGGCTGAATTTTGCATTGTGCTCCCTGAAGCGACCATTTGCTGTTAATTTCATGGATGCCCCAGAGAGGTCAAGCTCTGCATTCAGCTCATTCTCCAGCAACAAGGGACTGTACTTCAAGCTGGTGGTTGCACTTGTAGATAATCCATCTCGGGCAATCCTTAGTGTTGCCTTATGAGCACCAGTATTAATTTTGTCAGTGCCCAAGATGTCAGCATTTAATTCAATTCCATGGGAATTCAGTGACCCAGAAAGCAGGGTGAAGAACCTCAGTGACTTGTAGTCAGCCTGATACTCAGAACGAAGCAATGCATTTTGCTTAGAGAAGGTCAGATCCACCTTGTTAAAAGTAGAAAAGTCCTCATATTTCCCATTGCTGTCAGATTTCACAGTGAGCTCATAGTTCTCATATTTCAGGGAAGCAGTATTTTTAAAGATGCCATCTTGCAAATCAGAAGTGGAGGTGAGGGAGAGGGTTCCATCTTTGTACCTTCCAGTTATCTGGTTGGTGCCTTGGAGGTAGGAAGAGTTAAACCTCAGGTTGGATTCTCCACTGAGCTGGCCAGTGGTAGAATCCCTCTGACAAGACAGGTCATAAATGCCATTAGCATAGAACGAAGAAGCTCTGAATTGCCCATCAATCTTGACATCTTTGACATACAGATGTTGTTTCTTTTTTGAGTCAAAATGGATTGAAGCAGACATCTGTGGTCCCCAGGCACTAGATGCATCAAATGTTAGAAAACCTTTTGAGGCTGGGTTGTTTCCAACTTTTTCTACATGACTGAACTTGATTTTTGAATCCAGAAATTTGTGGCGTAGAGACCCATCACAAGCTAATGTGAGCATATTCCTTTGGTCATAAGCTGTTTCTCCAGATCCTAATGTTAAAAATTAAAGACATTGGTTAAATTAAGAAAAAAAATGTCCAGAACAATCATTGTTGAAAATCTTTCAATTAAAAAGTCCCATTTATCTGGGTCAGTTGTGTAGTAGTCTCCTCATCTATAATGCAAACATAAAATTTGAAAGCATAATGTATTTCTCCAGGAAGTTTTCCCTGACTGCTGAAGACCTTTTTGGGCTCCCTTATTGACGAGTTTCACTGTATCTTATACTAGTATACTCTGTGGCACTCAAGCTGAATTATGATTAATAAAGTAAACTTGATGTATCTTATACACCCTACCGTAGTACTTCTCACACTGAGTTACAATTGCTGGTTTATGTACTCCTTTTCTTTTTATTACCTAGGTGTATATCAAATACATATTACATGTTTAATAAATATTCCTATGAGTTGAGTGGATGAAAAGACTTCTGAGTAGCAAGGACAATAAGAAAGTCCATGTCCTTTCCTCCCTAGAGGGGGTTCTCCCACCAGAAATTGCAATGAGTTAGCCCTGTGAACCCTTCACCTGAGCATGGCTCACCTTGGATGCTATAGGAAAACATGTCAATCACAGAGTCAGCCTTCATGTGGTATCGAGCCTGGAGACTGTAGTGGTCTCTGCTGGTGTTGCCACCAGTATAGGAGGCAGACCAGTTGTACAAGTTGCTGTAGATATTTGTGGAGAGGTCCAGAACACCCAAAAGAGGCACTCGAAGTTGATACAACTTGGGAATGGTAAAAGTTGGGACTTGGAATTCTTGAGATGGCAGCTGGAATCCCACAGACTTAAAGTTGAGGGCTGGTGTCCTAATGGTCTCTAGCATCTTCAGATCTTTGGAAGACTTGCCACCAAAAGGCAAAGGAATCTCAATTTTCACGCTGTTCTTGTTCAAGGTATATTTGACCCGGCCATCACTGAAATGAACAACAATGTCCCCACAGTCAGTCATCAAGAACTCAGCTCTCTGCCATCTGATCTTCCAAGCAATACTGCATCTACTCCATTTCTAAACTCTTTTTTATTGCACTACTTCCCACGCCTGGATACCTTTGCTTTTTCCTCTACCTGCCCAACAAACTCTTTCTATGCCCTTCTAAGAGCCATCCCTTAGCATTTCCATTCCACCCAAGTCATAACTAATTTCTCTCATTCTTAAAGGGATAGAGTCTCTTACACGTATCTCAAAGAGCATGCCCTAGTTCTGCTTAGATAATAAGTTATCTGTTCATTTTTTATGTCTGCACATTGTCTCCCTGAGAGGAAGAACTATACCTTATCTAGTGTCTATCTTCTCACTGTACCTAGTCTAGTATTTTGCATGTAGTGGACCCTTGGTACATATTTGCTAAACTAAATTGAGGTAACTTGATATGTGGAATGTACACAGGAATAAAAGGCAAAAAATTTGGGTGAGAGCTTCAATTTCCACTGTTATCTTAGTGAATTAGTGTCTCTGAGTCTCTGTGATGTTTTCTACATAGTGGATAACAGTATCCTTTCTGTTGAACTCACAGTGATGGCCTTGGATATCAAATGAGAAAAAAATACCTAAAAGCACTTTGCAATCTTTTCAATACCGTACCCATGCAATGTAATAACAGGATAACTTATAAAAAATAAAGGGGGACAGAGGGGTTTAGCTATTATGTGCAAATAAATTGTTCATTTTATTGCTGCAAAAGGATGCCTGCTTTCAGCAGGAGGATGACCGATGACCAGTCAGGCCCTGTCCAATTCGTAGGTCCTGAAACACCAGCAGAGAAGGAGGGTTCCTGAGTCCTCTGTGCTGCCACCCTTTTCCATTTCCTACAGTCTTTTTCCATATGGGTGCTTTGGCAGACTTCTATCCTTTTACAATAATTGGCCTATTAAACTGCTCCTCTGCCACTGACCATGGGAGGGTCCACATGACATAGGTCACTTATTTTTTTTTTACCCGAGTAAAGTACAGAGATCAGTCAACTTAGAAAATACTCTAGTTTTTTTCAGCTTGTGCTCTGATTTCTTATTTTCATGAAATAAGACAAGCAAAGCATTTCATATATTTTTGTAAATACAGAAATGGACTGAGCACTTTGGAATCTGATTTTTTGGGTAAGGGTTAAGTTGTATTGCTAAACTGAATCTCTCTCCAAATGCTGCCTTTTATTCAATGCTCAATGGTTATTCTGACCCTCTGTAGTTAAACAGCAAGCCCATAGTCAATAATTCCTCCAGCTACTCTTAAACTCTTCACAAATAAGTATGAATATATTCTGGTCTGGAATAGGGTGTTTACTTGTGATGGAAGAAAGCTGAATGCCTTCCAAATTCAGATTGTAGTAAATAAAACATCTTAGGAGGAAAGTACCAGAATTCCTCAATTGTCTTTTGGGTTCATTTTGGGTTGACTGTCACATTCAGACTTCACGTTTAATAATACAAAAGTGTCACAGTATTTATGCTATAGTTATTCATCTCTTTAAAAATGCTTATATTATTTCCCTTAAAATTAAATAAAAACAGTAACAATCATGCTATGTCAAATTTTCCATGTGCTTTGCATGGTTTGAGAAACTTCTCTAGTTTCTTCTTTTACCTTTTTAAGAAGAGGTTTTCTGGGACTTGGAAGGTTGGAAATCTCATTTTCTGGAGGCTCAACTCTGTCAAGCCGCTGAGGTGATCCTGCAAAGTCTGGGCTAACGGAAGACTCTCGGATGCCTTCTGAAGCCAGCTGTTTGTTGCCTACAAAATGATAGAAGATTTTTAGAGCAAGAAATGGGACTGGGTGATCCTCAAAGTGAAATTAACATTACGTAATAATTCAGATTTGACAGGTCAGTTATCAAGCAGAACAATGAAGTAAAAGTTAAAAATAAGTTATAGTGATGGGCATGGTGGTGCATGTAATCCCAGTGGCTCAGGAGGCTGAGGCAGGCAGATCACGAGTTCAAAGTCAGCCTCAGCAACTTAGCAAGGCCCTAAGAAACTTAGCGAGACCCCGTCTCAAAATAAAAAATAAAAAAAGGCTGAGGATGTGGCTCTGTGGTTAAACACCTCTGGGGTCAATCTCTGGTATAATAATAATAATATTTATTAATAATAAATGAATAAAATAATAGTAATTATTAATAATAATATATTATTATTATTTATTACAGAAAATTATGAATTTGGGCTGCCACTCACTCATCTCTTCCCTTTTTAAGAATATGTAACGTAGACTCCTAGCCCATGTCTTGAAGTTTCTGTTCATATATGTAGACATAGCAAACTCTTTTGCTTATAGCATTCACTTGGTATTTATCATATTCAGCTTTGTGTAACTGGAGAACTAAGCATGCTTGATGTTTCTTTTCTCTCCAGAAATTCCTTAGGTGCAGGAAGCATGCCTTAAGCATCTTTGAATACCCTCATACACCTAACAGAGTTAAGGATGTGATTAGCACTTTTAACCATGAATCTATTTTGCTGATTGATTCATACTTACAACTATTAATTTGGATCCCATCTGCCGGAAAGTCATGTCTGTTTGAGGAACTCTGTTATCTGGGAGACTACTGGCATGCAGCAGGAAGGCTCTATAAAAATCAGAGAGATCCACTGGGAAATTGGAGGCAACTTTTTTGGTATCCACATTGGTGCCTGTGTTCCATTCAAATTCAATCTTCTCCTCATCTAGAAAGGCACATATGAAATAGTTGTCAGTGGTACAACACAGGTCAGCCTGTGTCCATGGCACTTGGCAGTTACACTGAAGTACACAGTGCCCTTGGAAGTGCTTGTGGGGGAGAAGAGGCACATACCATAGCGCCAGGCCAGTCTCTTGGAAACTGTTGAGCCATAAGCTGTAGCAGATGAGTCCATTTGGAGGAGCAGTTTGGTTGGGGACCAGCGGGTCAGGATCTCACTTCTGGCTTCTGCTTGTAAGCGGGGTATGGAAATGACACCTTTGATTTTGCTTTCTTCCTTAGTGTCATAACTATGGAAAAGAAAATCATTTGGCTTCAACGATTTTTCCATTCCAAGGAGATATACAGAATTCAACAGTTAGGAATTGCATTTTTTAGTGATAAAAGTAAGATACATTAATGAGTGAAAAACAAGGCCACAGACAGACCAAATGCATTAACTTCAAGGCTAATACTCAGCAAAAGTGCAGGACTTTGCAGGGAACAGAAGAACTTTTTGAAAATTGTTTCAATCTGCTTTGCTGTTTACGAACTCTTGGCTTGGCCAAAAGATTAAACTGCTCAGAGCTACCATTTCCTTATCTATAAAATAGGGAAATTCATACCTACCTTGCAGTTTACGGTGAGGACTCAAAATGTTTTAGTGTACCCAGCACAGTATTTGATAAGTGGATAATAAGTGTAAGATAAATAATAGGAAGATCCAAATAAAAATGTGCAGAGGGTCAAGACACTGAGGACGCTGTTTGCCAGATGATAGATGAGGGATGCGTTTGTCTTAGTTTAAAGCTGGGGTAAGAAGGGAAAGAGCTACCAGGGCCAGCAGCTCAGGTAAGATCTCCCATGCCTTCCTTACCTTATGTGGCCCATCAGAGCGACTTCAGTGATTTTCTTATTCTGAATGTCCAGGGTGAGTTTGTAGGACTTTTTGTCCTGAGCAGACTCATCACTAACTCTGAGGACTGTTCCAAGGTCAACATTAAGATCTGGAATTTGGATTTCACTGAATAAAGTTCTACTCTGCCGATTATATTTGAACATCATTGTAGCCTCTGTATGCTTCACACCTGAAAATGTACAAAATAATTAAGAGTGTGTGCTAAGAGGATCTACTTAGAGAAGGAAGGAGAGGATAAGGTAGAGAAACCCTGGGTACTCAATGTGCTTAAACAAGAACACAGTTGAGGATTTTACCTTACATTTTTAACTCTGTGGTATTCATAATTCACTCAACTTGCAAGTATTTACTGATGGTGGAATATGTGCTGGGCACTGCTCTTGGCACTGGGGAGTCCTGCCCTTATAGAATTTACCTTCTAGTAGGGCTGTACAGACAACAGGCCAGCCAATTACTTGCATCAGATGGTAATAAATGTGAAGAAAAGTAAAACTGGATATGAAGATGAAAGACAGGGATAAAAGAGAAGCTATTTAATATGTGGTGGTCGGACAAGTTCTCTCTGCAAGAATGGGTATGTGGGCAGAGACCACAATGAGTAGATTGTGGGGATGCACCATGCCAGTTCTGCAGGGAGCCTTCCAGGCAGAGGGTTGGATATGCAAAGGCTCTGAGGTAGGGATCGCTCAGCACATTCAGGGATTGGAATATGGCTCTTCTGCTACCACTCTCATTCAAAGCAACTACATCTCTTGCTTGAATTATCGTTGTAACCTACACACCAGTGTCCGTTCCTCTTTTGCAACCTTTAGCCAACATAAGCATAAACCATGAAAAACCTTCAATGCTTCTTATTTTATTCACAGAAAAAGTCAAAGTTCTTACCATATCTTACAAGTCTATCTCTCCTCTACCTCCCCTTAATTTCTCTGATTTCATCTTCTATCACTTTCCTCCCGGATCTCTCTGCTTCAATCACGTTGGCTTTCTTTCCTTTTTTCAAACTTGGCAGCCCCATGCCAGCCTTGGAGTCCATGCAACTGCTGGGGCCTTAGTGTATAACACTCTTGGCACAGGGCTTACCTCCCTCACATCTCTTTTTTGTGTTTGCTTTACCAGGGAGGCTTTCCCTTATTGTTCCCAGAATCACTCCCTTCCCCAACTTTTCTCCTCCCAACACTCACAGCATTCCCTAGGCCCATCTATGTTCTGTTTTGGTCCCTACCATGGATTGACAGCTCACAAATATTTACTTGTTTGGTTGTTTACTGTAACTTCCACAAAGATAGAGACTTCAATGTTCCCTGTTTGAGCCTCAGCTCTAAGAACAGGTCTGATACTTAGTTGGGCACTCAGTCAATATTTGTTAAATACATTACATTACATATTTCTCCCTTTGAGTCCTGAACCTGAGACTGAGGGTAGAGAGGCAGCATCCTCTTTTTGTATTCTCACCTTCTGCCTGAATTATGAACTTCAGTGTGTCCACCAAGGCTCTTTCTTCCCTCTGGAGTTCATAGGTTGCACTGGCAGAATATTGTTCCACCTCTCCTGTAGGCTTCAGTTCCAGTTCAAAACTAAAGAAATTACAGTGAATGATGGCAATAATATCCCCCAACAATTCAGTATCAAGTGCAATAAAAATAAGGTCCTTATTTTAACCTTATCTCTTGCCTGTAACTAATAATGATATTTATGATCCCTTGAGTTCCTCCCAGAGCCTAAGACAAGGACAAATCCTAGGATTCCCAGGCTTTTGTACAAGTACAGGAACAGCTGGCTGGCCCTGTCAGCAAAAGCTGACAACAGAGTGGGTGAGGGGATGAAGACAGGGTACCCTGAGCACTGTGGAGGCTTTGGGCATGCTGGTGAGCTCTAGGAAGCTCCTACCCATGGGTCTGGAGGCTCAGAAACTCTGACGATGAGGTAGGAGCAAATTGGAATGTGCTCTGATCTTCTCATCCAGCACACGAAGGAGAAAGAAGTGCTGGCCACACGACCACTATTTTAAATACCCAAAGGATGGTACAAGCCCCTAAGATTGACATAAGGCTACCTCATATGGCCTTTTTCTGTTTGTCCTGCCAGGTGGCCACAATGTGGATGGCAAGCAGATTCAGGATGTGCACTGAGTATCTCTCACCTGGTGTCACCTGTCAGTGGGTAGTAGGAGGTAGACTCGGTGGAGCTGGCGTTGGAGTAAGCTCCTGAGGTGCAGTAGCTCAGTCCAGTGACAAAAGGCCTGCAAGTTGACCAGGACTGCCTGTTCTCAATGAGAGGAGGGATCACTTCTGTTTTGGTGGTGGAGACCAAATGCAATGTGTTGCTGGTGAAGGATGAAAAATCAAAGTTATCTTCAAGCCAGGAATTCAAATGAACAGGGAGATCAGTAAAGTAGAAGTGGGAAATCAAAGGGGAGGTAGGAGGGAAGGGAAAAGGGAAGAACTGGGAAATTAAATTGACCAAATTATACTAGGTGCATGTATGACTATACCACAATGCATTCCAATTTTATATATAACTATAATGCATTAATCACAAAATAAATTTAAAAATTAAAAAAGACTAATAAAGTAGAGGAAAGGGATCAGGGGAAGGATGGGAGAGAGGTTAGAGCTGGGAATGGAAATGGAGAAAACTATGTTACATATATTTATGAATATATCAAAAGGAACCCTATCATTATACATAACTATCATGCACTAAAATTTTTAAAAAGATTTTAAAAAATGAACATCATTCTTTTAAAAAATGAACATGATTCTTACTATACACATGCTCCCTTTTCTCCTATCCACCTCTGTCCATACCCATCTTATTTGATTTACTGAGAAACAAATGGTGACTCTTAGGCTTCAGACATTGCACTAAGTTCTTTATGTGTGTTACCTCTGATCCCACAACAGCAGGCATAGGATTCTCATTTTACAGAAGAAACAACAGTTCAGAGACACTAACTGACTGGTCACTGGGACTGAACTTAGCTCTGTCCTTCATATATGATACAGGGCAAGAGGAACCCTGTCTGTCTTTCATGTGAAATCTCTCATGCTCTGCTGGCTTCTTTTTTACCCGCATTAAACATGCACAAGTCTCTTCTCCCATTCTCACACTACACACACACACACACACACACACACACACACACACACACATACACACACCTCTTTCTTTCCCTTGTTACTGTCTCTCATAACCCTATCAACAGGGTGTTGGCCTTTGTGGGGTTTTTCTAACACACTTATTGCTGAACTGTGCTCTGAAAGTTACCCTTGTCACGTTTCTGAAAATGCTTTCATCAATATCTCCAGTCCCCTTCATGCTCCTAAATCTAGTGGGGCTTTATGATCTCTGACCTCTCAGGAGTATTCAATAGGCTTGTTTACTTATGGCTACATCAAGATGCCAGAGTCTTTATCCTCTGAAAAGATCATGGTACCCTCCTCTTATATATGTACTTTAAATTAGTGAAAATACAAGGAAGTTAAAAAATGTCCCCGTATCTTTGAAGGATGCTTTCTTTTAAACACTCCATCCTTTCCCCAGTATTTTTTTTTCTCATTGTTGGTGGTTCGCCAAGACCAACCTTTGCTGATGGGCTGGAGTCCTACATGCCAGCTATGGCCTGCCTATGTTCTAGCCTCTAGTGTCTTCTTGGCTTCTAGACCCTTATGGCCTTGGTTCTCCGTCTGCCTCTCTGGTTGCTCTCTGTACCAGCTGCTATTTCCTCGCTCTGCTATATACTGGTGATGCCCAACTCCACGTCTGAGCTCAAACCTCTTTGCTAGGCTCAGGGTCATAGGTCCATCTGCCACCTAGATAGTTCTAGTTGGTTGTTTCATAGGACATAAATACAGCATATCCAAAACTGAATTTGTCATCTTTCTCTAACAGAACAGCTCTCCCTCTGTTGTTCCTATTTAAAATGAATGCTTCCCTTCTCTCTTCCCTTATACCCATATCCAGTCAAGAATCAAGTGCTCCTGATTCTATCTCCATGCAATTTCTGATACCTCTCACTCCTCTCTGCAGACCATTGTTACCTCCAATGCAGGCCATTGTCACCTCTCACACATATGTATTTTTAACAGACTCTTAAATGTCTTCCAGTCTTGCTACTTTCCCACATTTTCCACCCTGGAGTCAGAGTAGTTCATCTAAAACACCAGCCTTGCCTTAGTTATACTCTCCTGTTCAACTCTTTTGCCTTCAGAAGAGTCTGGGTTCTTTATGGTGGCTGAAAAGGTGGTCCATGGTTGCCCCAGACCTCTTTCTCTCCACCACCCCCAATTATGCTCTCAGTGCACTTTGGCATACTCAATTTCTTTCAGTTCCATGAACCATTTTCTTTTTTATTAGGCTGTTATACATACTTTTCTCTTTGCCTAGAACACTCATTTCTTTTTACTTTGCTTGGGTAGGTCTCAGTCCTTCGCAGCAGATCAAGTGTACCTGTGTCAGAAAGCCTGCTCTGACTCCCTCAAGTTTCACAGTATTGTAATACTGCCTTTAATCTAGTTCTCACTCCATTGCAGCGGTTTTCTCCATTGTACATCTTCCTATAAAGTTAAGCTCTAGAAGCCCAGAGACCTAAATTCTACGTCTGAATGAGAAAATTAATGTGTTCAAAATATCAAAAACTAAGGTCAATCAATGGTGGAGGATATCATTGAAAATGGAACTCTCAACAGAGGCTGAATCCTATAATCTATCATGGATTTTCATGCTTTATCCACTGAGCTAGCTACCACAAATAAATATGGCCTTTGGTATTTTTCCTAGAGAAAAATGTTCATGTTTTTTTCAAGGGAGATTTCTGTAGAGTTAGTGCTACTTCATTCTCTAAGCAATCAACAATAACAACAAAATCCTCTACAGCAGAGTTATGACCAACTAAACATAGATATTAAGTCTCAATGAAGGATGATATAGGACGATTTAGTAAAATGTAGAAAGGCAATTATTTTGTGTGTTTGTATCTAGGCTAGGTTAAAAACAGGTAATCAAGAACCTTCCTTCCCTCTCCTGCTTCTCTGGGACTAGAATTTTCCCTGTTGGTTATCTAGCCTGACCAAATCCTACAGATATGTTTTCAACTCTTTGAAATTGGCCAGGCACACCTGGCTGAAAAAATCACCTGCCACTAAATAACTTGACGGGCCTCCTTGGAGAAGGAATGATGAACTTCAGTTGTCCAGTCTTCAGGGTCACACGAGCCTCCAGGCCTGACTCATGGAAGAAGTTGGTGTTCATTTGAACACCACTCCTGGCAAAGCCAGGAAGAATGATGCCCATGTTTGTTGCAAACTCCACAGTCATAGAGGGCTTTACCACCAGGTCAGCCTGCATCTGCAAGTCAGAAAACAACCTATCAGTATTGTTAAATTCCTCAGTCCCCTGGTTGTCAGATCAACCCCCCTTTCCCATCTCTGGGCAAATATCTCTGGATAACTTGCATCTCAGGAAATAGTATTGTGATTTATTAGAGGAAGAAAGCCCAGTGCCCAGTTCTCCAGAGCCAGACTTCACTATGAAGGATTAGGAAGCAACTTAGACAGAAAGATGATCAGAACACTCATTTATGAAGCAAACAACTGAGTTTTCATCTTATTGCCACAATTCAACTGGCGATGGTAAGGTAGTGCATGCTGGTGGAACCCTAAAGATTTTCATAAAAATTAATGAGGTGATTACTAGGATGATGTACATTGTTGTGAACTAGAAACACATTTTTAAAATGTGAAACATTTAAAATGTCCTCTCCCCCACAAGAGGAAAAGAACAACACCCACTTATTTGCAATCATTGTAAACAGGGTCTTACATTGGCTAGTTCCAGTTTTACTCCAGCCTTAGTCCCAGGGGTGATGACTCCAGATAAGGATACTTGCAACTGTGACCCCACTCCAGTGGGAAGCTCAAAGGCATTGTCCATAAAGATGTAGTGAAGAAACAAGTCACTCTTTGAGCCTTCCCTTATGGCCTGTCCAATCTGCAAATTGAACAGGGGAGAGTAAATTAAGCCTTCTATGAGTGAGTTTTGTCAAATGCAACCTCCCAAATATAAAGGAATAATTTCTCTTTATCCAGAAAAAAAGAATTAGCATATTTAGCTGGCTAATTTCATAAATAAAGGTTAATGTTACTCACATCAATGCATTTGGATATATGCAATTGCTCTGAATTAAATATCATGTTCAACTGGTGATTCAGAAAGTACCTCGGAATAGTACAGGGCCTCAGAGCCTTATAAGCTCCAAGTAAAATCTATGGCTTGGCTTAATTCTGTTTTCTTTTTAAAAATCTGAATGTAAATGAGAGTTTAATTAAAGTGTATTATATTTTGGTAAAATTAATTTTAAATAAAAAAGCTCCTGAAATGATGTACATATTAACATGCATGGTTTTTTGTTTTGTAACATTTCCATAAAATAACTTCAGTGTTTTCTAAAAACCAACATGAATATTTATTTAATAATGAGGGTATATTTTCTCTTTTATTAGTAAATTAATTATAATAAAAATTGTGGCAAATATTTAGATAGTGTGTTACAGTTGGCCAAACATTTCTTAAATAATCATTGTGTCCTTTTAATATTAAAAGTGGTGTTTTTTGCAGGTGGAGGAAGATATTCTTAACAGCATTTTCTAGAAGATCAAACTAATGCTCTTAAAAGTATAGCTAACATGAATAGCTTCATTTCTGAATGCGCCAATTCCTTGTGAGTTAAAGATCTTCTTCATTGAAATTCAGAGCAAACTTGTATCTTTGAAGGAAATATAGGCACTTTCTCTGCTCTGTGTGGCAAGGATCTTACGGGAGTCTGGGAGGTCTAGGAAGAGCACCTGCTAATCTGTGGGCCCTCTGAGAGGCCTGGTCACTTACCAGGTGTTGGATTCCCTGCAGCGTTTGAACACCACTCAGCAGCAGCCTTCCCAGGAGCTGGAGGTCTTGGAGCCTGACAAAGCCAAGCTCTTCTCCCAAGATGCGGAGGTAGGCTCTGGCTTCTGGGATTTCTTTGGATTTCAAATCATTGATCAGCTTTTCAACGATGGGCATAATTCCATTTACCATGTCCTGGGATTTTAGTAACACAATGTTTAGTGAGAGGTCAGCTTTGTCTGAGGTGGGATCTGTCTCCTGCTGACATGACTGGCCTAAACACAAACCCTGGAGCTGGGGCTTTAGGGAATCAGGCTCCTTTTACTGAAACATAATTTATCTAAACAAAGATCAAAACACCTGAGATCTTTTCAGGACTAGTAGTACTTTCAAAACTGACCTTAACTTGAAAAAAACAAAAACAAACATGCAGGAATAGTAAGGGGAATCCCTGGTCTCCAGGATTCCAAGATCCATAGAGCTCCTCAGGATTAAAAGATCTCTGTCCCACTTCCCTACTCAGCCCTCTCTGCTTCAACTAAGGAAGAGGACCGGGGTTTTCTAAGAAAGTATAGTTTTCTTATAAGTAAGTCAAGAGCTTGTAGACCTGTGCTTCTTAGAGACAGGAAGAATTCTATAGACCAATGCACAGATATTGTGAAGGAAAAGAAATTGCTAGACCCCAAATAGATCTAAGTATATTGGCTTCAAGTGGAGATTGGCAAATCAGAAGATGGAAATGAGACTATCAGGGAGCATCTGGGAGCAAATTATTGCCCTGTTCTCAACCTTGAATGTACACACAAGTCCCCTGGGGTCTTATTAAAATGCAGATTCTGATTCAGTAGGTCTCTGTGGGCTTGAGGTCCTGCATTTATAACAAGCTATCATGTAGTGTCAATCATCAGACCACATTTTAGATAGCAAAAAATTAAAGACTAAGAAACTGCAGATATACAAGCTAGTTTCTACTCCTTCACTGGGGACTCATTGCCAGCCTCAGAATGGATTCTGGTCCCATTAACTAGTGCACTGGTATGAGTGACAGTCAAAGGAAGCAGCTAATAATAAAGAAATAAAAATAACAATTTAAAACTTATAATAGTATCTTCTTATTGAGTATCCAAGACTGGTGTCAGGCACTGTGCTTAGCATTTTATGTACCTTATTTAATGTAGTCTTTAAATAACTTTGTGAAGTGTGGATTACTATTAGTACCCTGAGGGCGCAGGAACAGACATATATAGTATTAACTAACTTGCCTGGGATAATACAATTTAAAGACTGAGGTTAGAATCAAACCAAGGTCCCATTCTTTATACTCTTAATCATTTTGCTAGAGTGCCCCTAGTGAGTCTGGTTCCTGGACACAATGCATTTCCATAAGACCCTTAACTGCTGAGGATACTGGACCCTAGCTCTGTAGGACTGATTAATACACATACACAGTTGTTATTTCAGTTAGATAGGACCTCGATGACTTCTGTGCTTAGGAAAGAATGTTTTTGCACTGAGACCCAAATCTTTCCTTGAGAGAATACATATACAATACAATACATACCTGCTCATGTTTATCCTCTTTGATATAGTCAAAGTGGTCCACCAAGACTTTGGAGACATGATCAGGCACTCGACCATTGACCCAATATAAAGCCTTGTTGACACTATCTGGAAAAAATCCTTTCTTCCCAAAAAGAGCTTCCAGTGTTGGCTCAAAGCCTTTTCCTTCTAAGCCAATCTGAGAAAGAAAATCAAGCAAGAATATGCCACTGGGTGTTCTGGCTATACATCAGTCTCCCATTCCCCCTTTTATGTCTACTTAATTAAAAACGTATTTGATGAACACTGCAGGGAAGGAGCTGGGCTTAGCATTTCACAGAAGTTGTCTATTTAAATTTTACTAGACTCTTGAAGGGTAGAACTCATTTGCCTTTTTCTATAAAAGACAGGGATGAGAAAAGATAAATAATTAAACTGAGGATTCAGAACTGGGAGTGGATTTGGAGTTTGAACCAGAAATGATTGGTTAGCTCAAGTATTTCGTTGGACTTTGAGTTGAAGGGCTTCTCTGAGACATCTACATTTCCATTAATATAAGGAATAATGTTTCAGATGACCCCTAGTGGACAGAGAGGAAGGCGAGGAAGGAAGGAAAGAAAAGCCTCAAAATGAAGGTACCAATCCCTTGATGATTCCTGCTCCTCCCCAGGCTGGTTCACAGCTCCCCTGACTTTGTATTTGTGGTGTACAGACCAGGCAAGAGAACTTGACACTCTTCTTTAGTCTCACACATACCTCGACGAGGTCAGTTGGAGCAAATCCAAAGACAGTGAGGGTTGTTTTCAGCATGCTTTCTTTAGGAAGGTAATTATTCGGATCAAAGATAAGATTCCCCTCAATTTTGGCTGAGACTGGGTCAAGCGACGGAAGAGAAACAGATTTAGAAAGGTGATAGTTCCGAGAAAATTTTCTGAAGTCCATGACAGTTGGAAGTTGAGATTCTTTCAGGGCTTCTTTCACTAAATTTTTCAGGCTAGATGAAAAGAAGAGATATACTTTGAGCCAACATACCATGTGACTTATTCATCATCTCCTGCATCCTGAGTAAATATGGATTTCCAATTGCTACTAAAATATATGGGTTTCATTTGCCCCAAGACTTTGGCTCAGGGTCTGCTGCACACTCACATGTGTTCCAGAAGAAAGCACACTCCATAAAGGACAGATAGGGCCTGGGCCCGAATGGAGACTTAGAATTCCAACCCAGGGCCCTCTGTAGCAGATTGGTGCAAGGGATGACTTACTCTTGGATATCCAATTCTTCTGAGTTCAAGATGTTGGCAATGTGGGATGCCACAAAGTTCTTCACTTGCTCATTCTGTTCCCGTGGGAGAATTCGGGCAATTTTGTTAATATCTGCCTGGGAAGGCCCCCTCATCAGCATGAGATAGGCAGCCAGTCGCTTATCCACTGGAGCAGCACCATCCACAAAAGTCTGGAGAAGGATCCCCCTGACCTGTAGCCAGAAGAGGCAACTGTTTATCAGGACACAGAGCATGCCTGGCCAATACTGGCATGGTCTGCTAGCTCTTTCTTAACACAAGTCTAATCTCTCTCTTATATCTCTTCAAATAATGCTGAATCTTCTTGCTAGTGTTCCTTAAAGCAACCAGCTCAAGGCAGGGTTCTCAGAAGACTCCTATCAAATATGTGCTCAAATCAATTGCATTAGAATACATAAATTTTGACCAAGTGATTATTTGTTTTGTGATCTGCTACTAAGTGAAGACAAAATTGTTTTGTCATAAATTATTTCAATGTAAGAATGAAGGTGGGAAGGCACAGTGAGATTTTGGAGCTAAAAAATAAGACTATTTCAAAAGCTGTGGAGTTTCTGCCACCTAAGGTAGGAGGACCAGGTTCACTATCTCAGTTTGGTGCCACTGGAGAAATCAGGTATGTTTTCTCAAAATAAAAGTGATGGTCCATCTGGTAGTAGGACATGATATAGCAAAAATCTGATGTTCTTTGTGAGAGAGGAGTAGCAGCAAGTTGACTATGTTTCTCATCCCATATACCACTAGGCAGTCAATAGGCTCATTGAAGTTTTGCAATGAGAAAACAGTAAAAGAAAGTCAGCACAAGAATGGGATTTAGAACCTCATTCCCCCTTGTACTTCCCCAGACCTTGTTGATCAGCATGGACTTTCACTTTCAACACCCTTGTGTACTTTACCTCATCTCTGAGTTCCATCTTCCTCAGGGCCTGGATAGCAGCTTTCTGAATCAGCAGTGATGGCTTTGCACTTCTGATACATTTCAGGACTGAAGATTTGAGTCTCGGCATTACCTGTTCCATAGTTCTGCCCATGTTTCCAATGACCTGCATTGAAGAAAAGAAATAAGAACTCATCACAGCACAGAAGGAGGAGTAAAGGTTGTTCAAAGAAGGGCATTGCTGAAATGATGCATCTTATACAAAATACTGAAAGTACCCTCAGGATCAGGTAGGTGTGATCTTCGTCCCCAGTACACTCATTGCGAATCTGTTCCAACAGGTAATCAGCAATGTCCTGAAGGTCCTGGGTCATTTCCTGGGTCATCGGATGATAGCTACAGAATAAGGGAAGAGTGTTAACATTCTCTTAATTTGGAAGGCATAGATGAGCTTTCTTAAAATCCAAACTTGTGTTTGTTGATTTCTTATTCCAAGTTGTTCTTTTCAAAATGTCCAGTAGAAAAGAGTGAGCACTAGGGTTAGAAGGTAGAAGGAGGGGTGCCATGTCAGTACAGAGAGGCGGGATTTTCCTCTGCTCCCAGGTGGAGAAGAAATTCAGTGCAGAGACTCACTTGTTGACCACATGGCTCAGTGCATAGAGGGTGGCCCGGCTTTGCTGCTCCCTGGCCGTGTTGAAGATCTCTCGCAGCCTCTGTGTGGAAGGCTCTGGGATCAGGGCCACCAGGTAGGTCACAACATCTATCAGGAGGGGGTGAGCTTTTTCACTTTTCAGCCACTGGAGGATGTGAGTGTAACACTGGGGCTGTCCACACTGAACCAAGGCTTGCAAAGTGATGGGGCTGAGAAGAGAAGAGAGAGTTACACAGAGCAGCATCAAGGTGGTGAACCCTCTTTGGTGTGTGGTGTGACCTCTTCCAGGAGTGCCCTATGTCTCTTATTCACTGTCTAAATTCAAAATCCAACTCTGATCCCAAGAACCATGATCCTTCCCTAAGAAGAGTCTTTCCACTGGAGAAACACTGTGAGAGAAATCTGAAAATGACCTCTAGGCCTCAAGCTGAAAGGGGAATGTTATCACTGCCCTTTGGTGAGGACATAGAACATGCCTGGCCAGCACTGGCCTAGTCCATTCTGGCCTCAGCAACTTTTATGACATTCAGAGCACCTGGATTCCGTCCCTTGACGTACAGAGAACACACATTATTTTGTTTGCCTGAGCTCTCTCCCTTCTAGCTTGTAAGTTCCAGAGGGCACGAACTTCTTATCTCACACTCTTTAAGGAACCCTCTAGAAGCATGGATGAGAAGATATTCATCAAATGAGAGGTGCTACCTCCCTCTGGTTTTAACACACAAATGTGTACCTTCCTGGAATGCCCTGTGTGTGTGTCTTGTCCTTGAAACTCTAAGCACCTTAGTTGATATTTCTCTGCTCAGAAGACATTAACTGTTTGACTGATTAACTAGATTGATATTAAATGATTCCTGAGGTTCTCTGACCAAAGTTCAAAAGTTCTGACAGCCTCCATAGGTTGTCTGAGACTGAGCTGCAGCCACTGAAGACTCACCTGGACACCTCGATCAGCTGTGGCAAGAGGGATTTGACTGCCTCTTCATCGAGGCCTCTCAACTCAGTAACCAGTTTTTTGAAGAGATTTGCTCTCTGGGCATTCTGCTCAGAGATGGATAGCTTTTTCAGTTCCTGGAGTGTTGTCAAGACAGCCTCGGCCTGCTTTGGTGGCAATGTGGATTTGGTGCTCTCGAAGGCCAGGCCCACCTTCTCAGTACCTAGAAAGTGCCAAAGGAATTCTTGGTTATTTCTACATCTCAACCATGTCTTCATCTAATAGAAACTAGGGAGGTACTAGCAGGTGGAAAAGAGAAGAAAACAACTGTCTTCTTAATGCCTAGTAGCTATGTGGCTCTGGGCTAGGTGTTGTTAATTGATTCATCACAGCATCCCTGGGGGTTGGTATTACTCCCCAATTTAAGAAAAAGGAGCTAAGATCCAGAGGTGAGCAATTTACTCTGAGAGTCCTTATGAACTAAGAGGCAGAGCTAGAATTTAATCCAGGTTGTCTGGCTTTGGTATCGAATTACCTCTGCCTGAAAGAATGGTGAGGAGATGGGGCAACTGATCAAGTGACAGCTGAGGCTGGACTAGTGGTCTCACCACCAGTCTTTCTAATTGAACCTTCTAGCAGTTTCTGATGAGGAGAGACCCTTCTGCAGCCTTCCCATCTTTCTGCCCTCACTTTTATAGGGAGAGGAGTGAAGGTGGGCATGGAATTGTGAAATAATGGGCAGAGTCCTGGTTTTAATTAGACCTGGATGCTCATTTTACACACCTTTGAGGTTCTGGGACCTTGAATACATCACTAAGCCTCCCTGTGTGTCCATTTTCCCTCCACAGAATGGGTATAAACTCATCTGCCATTATCACCTAACATCATAGGCAAATAAATGAGGTGAGGCACAAGCAAGAATTTTGACAGATTTATGTAGAATATAATGCTGGGCTAGGGTTAGAATAGAGGTCTCTGAAGTTCTGTTCCTTGGATTACTCTCTGGTCTGGCCCTAAAGATCTTTTCCCGCTTTCTCCATCTGGTCCAGGACAGGCAAAAGTCTAGTCACAGAGTCTATGTGACTGTCAACTCCTCCAAAGGTGTCACAGTTGACTTAGGAAACCTAAGCAGCTTTGGCAACTTCTCTTTATCCCACTACCCCTTGATGTTCTGAAATGAATCTACCCACTGAGTAGCCAAATACCAGTGTCTGCTTCACTTTTTAATGCAGCAGACATTTAATAGGGCCCAACCATGAGCTAAGCTGTGATTGGCACCTGTTAGACAGATTCCCCTGCACCAATGAGGACATAAAGGTCTTACCTGCATTAAAGAAGCGGCTGTTGGTCTTAGGTGTATCTTCAAGTTTCAAAGTCTGTGTAATGTGTGTCATCATCCCGTACTTATTCCTGGTAACAGAGGAAGCACCCTGCCTCATGAAGGGCCACCAACCCAGAACACACTAGTCTTTTCATGTCAAAGTTCCTATCTCCACTACTACCCTATTTTGCCCACCTTTCAGAGCATGGTTAAATCTAGCTATCTTTCACTCCTTAATGAACAGCACCCATGTCCCCCTGGTCACATTCAAGGACAAATGCACCTTATATCCTATATCAGCCTGGAGTTCCCAGAGGGCAAGGACTAACACTGAGCCTCAAAATTCTTCATATCTCCCATAGCACAGTGCCAAGAACACAGTAATTACTCAATAAACATTAGTTAATTCAAAATTGATTGGATATACAAGTCTCCAGTCAAAAATCCCAAATCCTCCATGAAACTATTCCTAACCAGGGCATCCTGCAATGGTTACCTAATTTTCTGGGTCTATGGCCCTTAAAGTCTGAGATGTATATTGTTGGTTTCAAAATTGTTTCACATGCCTAAGAATTTTCTGTCAAATTGCCTGTTTGCTTACAAAGGAGGTCAGGCATGGGCTCTGCTTTGTACCTCTCCATAACTCCCACCCAGGCACAGCCTAGCTTGGACAAGGGCATAGGAGAGTTCAGCTCACATAAACCCCTTGATGATGAGTTGGGGGAGCAGCAGGAGACCTACTTGTAGGAGAAAGGCAGGAGCAGGTGTTGCTCCTTGCAGATGGCTTCCGACACATGCTTCCTCTTGGAGTCCAGGGTGTATTGGCAGGACTGGCTGCTGCTGAGCAGGGTCGACAGGGGGCGGACCTGTGCATGAGGTTGGAGAGTGAGCATTTTGAACAGTTCCTGGGGTTTGGACCTCAGTCTTCTGTCACAGTCATTTTCCTCCAAGGTAGGGGAATGGGAGTCCTGCACCACTAGACAAGCTCAGTAAAAGTCAGCATACTCAAGGCTGTGGACTCTTCTTATTTCACCCCAGCAGAGCTCTCATCCTGCACATGTGTATGCCTTATGTCCCACATACCCATCTGCCCCTATATAACGCCACACATGCTACTACCTATTAGGTTTTCTTTGCCTAGAAGCATATCCTTGGCTCTCTCCCATTTGCTCCTCCGTTGTATTTTTCAGCTTTGTGCTCCACATCCTCCATAACTTTGCCTAATGAGCTACGTGAAAATGCTGCATTCTTCCTACTCAGGCTTAGAAATGCTTGTCTACACTGCTCAGTTGACTGATTTATCAGGTGTGCTGTGCATTATATTGTACGGGCATGCATGTGAACCTTGCTTCTGCATTAGCCTGGAAGCATCTCCAGGGTAAGGTTCATGGTTCACCCACTACTCTCACTCCCTCAGTAGGAGTAAACATAGAGCAACCTCTCTGAAAAGACCCTAAACCAGTGCTTGAGCCTCCTCTGACTATGGCCCCCATGGTCATCAGACTGTTTGTGTTCAGTCCCAAGGACAACGACCTTGAACATGGCCCAGCCGGGCAGTGATTGCTCATCTTCTATGTTTACTGAGATAACCTGTGCCTCATGTTCTGGATAATGTGACAAGAGGTTAGGCAAACTCAGGTCATGTGGTGCTATGTGACCTAGCTAGCAGCACAGAAGGTCA